TTGCCACATCCAGAGGACCTCGTCTTTAGTTCCGCTTCACGATACGGAGTACAATTTATGTGAATAGAAGATTGTATTGCATCTCAATTTGGATAATGGATTCGAACATATGACGATCCTGGGAAAGCAGCTGTTGAAGATAAATAAGAAACGGACGATATCCTGGAACAATGAAGCTCAGAACGTAAATATCCATTAAGTTTTCGTTGTTTATGGCATGTTTTTCGGGCTACACGATAAAATCCAATTCACGTCTCAATTTACCAACGAAAATAAAAACGCGAAAAAAGTTCAAACACAGCGACACTATTCTTTTCTCTAAAGAATATGAACGAAATAATTTAGAATCTTCTTGTATGTGGCGTTTCCCATCAGGACGTGGGCGATCATAGCTCACCACAACTTCTTATCATTCGTAGATCTTAGTAATGTTTGTCTTTTTACCGTCCGTCGTATTCTCTGTTCTGCCATTCATTCACATAAGCTCGACAGAAATATGACACACCGCCCTCCCTCTTTCTTTTTCCCCTTGATATGTGCTGTGAGTTTCAGATTCTGTAACCTTTCTTTCCACATAATGTGTCTTAAAAGTGTATAGCCCTAGGTATGACGATAAACTACATCCGGCAGCAAAGGCCCTGATCGGGTGATTGGAGGTTTTGAAGACCGTGGAACCACCTCTTACTTGCTGTTGTTTTCAGGCCCACTCTGAGCTGAGGTTGTAGAACCTGTTAGGGCTCAAGCTATGAACACCAAACAAAAATCAAGCACAATGAAAGTATCAAAATACATATTTATAGTAAAAATACCAACAATACCTATTTACAGTAAAATGACCGACAATGCCTATTTACAGTAAAATGAATAGCTGTACATTTTTAAATTAAAATGATCAACATTCAATTCTATAATACAATTGCCAGCAATTTATTTTATCCGTAGTTGAAGGCATGCAATTACGGTTAAAATATTTAGATTTTGGTATTAAATGACCCATAGAGATGTTGATATGCCGCTAAACAAAATCATCCAAAGATCCTAAAAGTTTAAATTTTTCTTTCTGCTCTTACGCACAAGGGCAATTTTTGCTTTCTTTTAAAACTTCGTCATTGCTTCCATGTTTTGTCCATGGTATTCTCAGCATTCTTCTGTAGTACCACATCTATGTTGTTTCAAATCTAATTTTCATCTGTGAGGAAATTGTCCATTTTACTGCTATATACGAGAATGGATATTACATAGCAATTCAGCAGTCTACTTCTTTTCTTTGTTTCTAACAAAGAATTCTTGTTATAAATCCATACAGACATATGATCTATTAAAATGTTTAGATAGTTTTTGTCTGGATCGTATCCGGACGTTACAGCGTTGGGCAATGATTAATGAGTTCAGCCATGTTAATTATAAGTGGTGTGGTCATGCCTCATTGGGTACCCAATACAAAAAATTGATGCTCTCTATATTTACAAATATCGCAAGGGCGAGGTAGACAGTCCCTGAACACGTCTAGGCGTGTTCAAAGGGAATATTTTCGGCCTAGCCTACGGGCTCGGAGAAACCTACGTTAAACTCGGCCTTGTGCCACATACATTCTGGGGGGGGGGCACTGTTAAATATAACAGTCGCCCAGACTGTTCATTTCAGTCGAACTTTCTGCCTCGGCAGAGAGGAACTCGGACGAAGCTTTGCTGCAGGTAGACAGGCCCTGAACCCGTCTAGGCGGGTTCAAAGGGAATATTTTTGGCCGAGCCAACGGGCTCGGAGTACCCACAATAAACAGGCCTTGTGCCACATACACCCTCGTGGGGGGTGGCTGTTAAATATTAACAGTGATATAGACTGCTCTACTGAGGCTTTTCGCAACTCCTGTCGAAGTCTCTGCCTTGGGCAGAGAGGAACCTGGACGAGGCTTTGCAGAAGGGCAAAGTTTCGTCAGGTGAGGTAGACAGTCCCTTGACCCGTTTATGCGGGTTCTAAGGTTTTTGGCCGAGCTTACGGCCTCAGAGAACCCACGATAAACTCGGCCTTGTGCCACATACATCCCTCGTGGTGGGAGGCTGTTAAATATAACAATGATATAGACTTCTACTGAGGCTTTTCGCAGCTCCTGTTGAAGTCTCTGCCTTGGTCATAGAGGAAACCGGACTAGGCTGTGCCGAAGGGCAGAGTTTCGTCTGGGGAGATAGACAGACCCAAACCCGTTTTATGCGGGTTCTACGGGGCTGAGCCTAAGGGCTAGGTGGACCCACGTTAAATTCGGCCTTGTGCCACATACATCCCTCGTTAATTATTAACAGTGATATAGACTGAACGCTGGTCAACCGACACACACTCAGAAAATCGTGTAATTCACTTCTGTTGTATTTACTGTTCAATATGCTATTTATATGCAACCTCTTGTTTTGGTCTTTCTTAACCATTACTTGGTCACAACAATATTCTAACACAAAAAACTATTCTTTTCCAGTGAACGGCATCGCTACACACTTTTTAAAGCATTTCACCTTCAAGCAAGGCAGGAGAGGCAGTAGCACGCAGAGGATTACAGAGAGTGAAAGTAAGAGAAAAGACTGTGTATAGAGGAGATTGAGGAAAGGATAAAAAAAAACGGGATCATGGCAACAGAAGATGATTGATATTTTATTTAATTTTTTGTTATCAGTGAAGTAAGTAAAAGGAAGGGAGTTCCACTGTCGGGAAGCGCGAGAAAAGAAATTTCTAGAGTGGAAGTGGAGGCTACATTTTCAATCAGGATGGAGTCAATGGAGAAAATTGGGACGCTGTATCGTACGAGACAACATTTTATAACTGAATCTGGCGTGCACCTTTATAAGTCTACGTTTCGGCCGTCCATTATATATTGTGCACTCTCATGGTAATTGGTCGGATGAGCTTTCGCTATGTTACCCAGAATTTATAAAAAAAAAAAAAGCACCAAACTGCTACATGATATCTGTCTTCCTGTATGGCATTGAGTGCTGAACGATCTCCTCAAAGCTGAAGAGAAGACTTGAAACAACAGAAATATCGTTCTAGAGACGAATGCTGAGTATACCAAGAATCGAACGGGTGAGCAACGACGAATTTTTGTAGAAAATGGATACGAAAAGGAAACTAATACTTAACATCAGGAAGACACAGTTGAGATTTATTTGGCATTTAATGAGGATGGAGGGCTTGGAAAATCTGATACTCACGTGACAGAGAGCAAGACGGACAGAGGAAAACATGACGGAACAGGACTCTTTTTTAAAGCGTTTCACCCAAAGCCCGACGGGAGTGCCACTAGCATGCAGGGAGGGGGGTTACAGAGAAAAAAAGTGAGAGAAAAATTGGGAATGGAGGGAATTGAGGAAAGGAAAAAAAGATGAACGAAGATGGCGATTGACGTTGCATTTAAATTTTTTAATATTGTAATAATCAGAGAAGCAATTAAGAGAAAGGGAGTTCCCCTGTCGGGAGGTGCGAGAAAAGAAAGTGCTGCAGTAGAATTGGTGATTGTATTTAACTATTTCAACATTAAAAGAGTGTAACTTAGATCCTATCCTGGTAGCATGCTTATATTCATGCAGTCGGGGCACCAGGAAAAAAAAGCAGTTGTCATGAAAATATTTGTAGAAAAAACAGAAGGAAGTCACATCACGTCTATGAGAGAATAGCTGAAGTCGAGATGCCAGGTCAGGACCGATTATATTGCAGATCCTTCTTTGGATTTTGTCTAGAACACTCAAGATGATCCGGAGAGGCACCAGACCAGACATGGCAACAATATTATTGTTAAAATTTGAGATTTTTTGATTAAGAATTGGTAAAGTTATTAGATTACAAAATGATATCAATTTTTCTAAAACACCCTGTATTATTCTTAGAATCCAAGTTATGTTTCGGTTTTAACTAAACCAAAAAGTGTTGATAAACCGTAAAAAACGCAATCATTATGTCAAACCAAAATTTTTTATGCAAAACTTAGTATAGAATTGCAATAAGTAAAATGGAAGTTATAATAAAAATGAAATATTCCAGCAGTTAATATTTTCTTTTAGAGGGAATTAAATATAAAATTACGGATAATGTTATTTTGTTGAAGTTATTTTATAATAAGAATTTATTTATCTGTTTGCTTCCGGGATGAGAGTTGAGCTTTTGACGCGGTGCATTTGGAGAATAGAAGAAATAATTTGTCTTATCATATTAACTTTTCAGAAAATGCATTTCAACTTCTCGAACTTTCTACGTAAATAACACATATTGTGATTTGGCTTTGGAAAAAATATGACAACTTGTTGAAAAAGAAACTGACTTAACAAGCGGATGTGATCCTTTTGAAAACTGCTTCACTGTATCGTGCTGGCAAGAATCTCTCTTGCTCATGTATAAATCTACCATTCATCAAGGCACTGAATATTGTTGTCACATATGGTCTTCTGCTTCTGCGATATATTTAGAGATTCTTGATAAAATCCAAAGAAGAATCCGCAATGTTATTGGTTCTTACCTAGCATCTCGGCTTCAGTTACTCCCCACTACGCCGCCGTAATATCTTCCTTCTTGTGCCTATTCTATAAATATTTTCATGGTAATTTTTCTGATGAATTTTTCTCTATGGCAGTGAGACTTCATTAATTTAACCGCAGTATTACATTGGCGGCAAGGTCTCCTCATTTTACAATTGAAATGAGTTGATGTAACCGTAAGTTCTATTCTAGACGTTTCTTCTGTCCCAATTCTCACTTGTGGAACATTCTTCCGGCTTCTTGCTGTCCAGATCTTCAAAAATTGAAATTCAACGTCAATAGTTACCTTTTCTGCCTTCTGAATTCCTGTCCTTCTATTGTTATCTCCCCCCACGTAATAATGTTTTTCTCTTTTTCTTTTTCTTTTTCTTTTCTTTTTCTCTTTTTCTCTTTTTCTTTCAATCTTTCGAAATCAATCACCCCCTGCGTTTCAGAGACATTTTATCTTACTTGGGGTGAAATGATTTCTTTAATTGAAAACTTAACTTACTGACATATATCTACTTTAGATAAGTGACTCAGGCAGATAGATAGATAGATAGATAGATAGATAGATAGATAGATAGATAGATAGATAGATATAAACAGCCTGAAATAGATAGATAGAAAAAGAGAGAAAGAATCAAGCTGAGATAGATAGATAGATAGATAGATAGATAGATAGATAGATTTTACTCTTACTCGGGTGGACGTGTATTTTCTGATAAAATCTCCGACACGTCTCGAGTTTATTAAACCGCCGAACATTCAGACATATATATATATATATATATATATATATATATATATATATATATATATATAGGAGTAAATAGGTTTGTCTGTCGTCCGGCTCACACTCCTCCCCGATCTTTTGAACATGAGTAAAAGTCCATAACTTTTTTCCTGTTTAGGATTGGGTTTCCGGTTCCTTCTAAACTCTACTTCAACTCTATACTCCTAACGTCTCCATCTGAATTTTATTCGCTAATTAAATCTTGACCTCTTCAAATCTAGAAATAGCTGTCTATCTTTCTTGTTATGTTGCCTTTTTTACGCTAATACAATGCCACACAGGAGCCCTCTGCCTTGAGTAGCTCTTTGGCCCTTGTATTGGAGGAAAGTTAGTAATATATATGCATAATCATATAAATATATATGTATGCCAGGAACTAAACAGGCACAACCACTCCAATTTCTTGCTAGTGAGGAGGGCTATTAACAACTTTGTAGAATGAAAAACAAAACCTATCAAAGGACGGAAGAACTCTAGGCGAGTCTCAAAAAACACTGTGGAAAAGGCAACAGGAAGCCATTCCACTACCAATTCCAAGAAATCTCATAGCTTCTAACAATCAAATCAAGGAAGATAACGGCATTAAAGGCGATTAGACTACTGGAATTATCTCCTCCCTCCGTAAGGTGGGACATATGCAACAGCTGTCTCCAGATCTTCATCTAGCGGCGTAAAGAGGGTCAAACACCTTGAAACCGATCCCTCGCCTGGAAATGGAAAATATGTGCTACAACCTCACTGGACAGTCATCCAGCGACTGTTCGTGTCAAATAAAAAAATAATTCTTGGACACCAGAACACTAAACTCTTGTGGCCAATTAGAAAATATAAAGCTTAATGATTAAATGTTACTATTTTAGGTGTCTGAAACGAGATGAGCAACCAATGGAGATTTCGTCAGTAACAAATACAGGGCCATATTTGAAAGCGGGGAGAAAAATGAAATAGAAGTATAACTGATACGATTAAATGTTATTGTATACTGTCAACTGTTTGAAAGCATTATCGTCGTTAAACTGTATAACGACGTGCTCCGTTCGTCCATCACTGCACAACTTGATGACAGCTGAGGTCGGTCATTATGCGTATACACCCGTCTCTCTACGTTCACAGGTTTGTTCACTTGGCTGTAATCGAATTCACAAAGAATAACGACAAATACTTTTCAAGACTCTCTGGTTGGGAAATGCCAACAATACGAATTCTCACTTAGCCGTCTATGTTTTCTTTCAACTGCAATGCTAGCTTTCGGCCACGGGGAGAGGACTCTTACATTCAATGACCGTCTAGGCGACTGCTGATTTCTCACTGCTCGCTGGTCCCTTCCTCACTTACTCCTGGATACCTGCTTACTTACTGATTTCCTCCCTCTTTCTGCTTATATGGATAATGGCTGGGGTCCTACCACCCCTATCAATCGCATTGTGTTCCGGAAGAAGAGACCACCTATACCCATTCGGCTTTTTGAATGGTCAGCTTCTTCAAACGACTACTTTTATGATTATCTAAAATCATTGACAAAATTTTATGTTTGCCAGTACAAAGGTGGCTGGAGTCAGAAATCCTGAAAACTCTGACTCTTTAAGTTGACTTAAAGATGGACTAGAGACAAATTTCCTAAGAAACTCAGATAATTAAGTGGACAAAACCGAAAATAATAAATAAAAATATATAAAATAAAAATAACAAACAAGATAAATTAATCTAAATAAATAAATAAACAAACTACTCCCGCCAAAATAACCGTTAGAATGGACTATCCACAATTCACCACTGACCCGTATATATAAATAGTCGAGAAAAACTCAACAAATATGGCCTGATGATTGTGTCTAGCATTAAACAGTCTGTCGCTTCCGTGTGTTGATTTCAATGTTCACTTTTATATTTATATATATATATGTGTGTGTGTGTGAGAGAGAGAGAGAGAGAGAGAGAGAGTATGTGTGTGTATGTGTGCGCGCGTGTGTGTGTGATAAAAATAGTTATGCTATATTTATGGGTTATATTAATCTAAAGTGCTCACTGTCTACTTTGTATCGAGCAATTTAAAAAATAAATAAATGCTAAAGAAATCTGGATTATCAATCTGACTATATATATATATATATATATATATATATATATATATATATATATATATTGGATTAATACAAATATGAAATTTGTCACTTGAGTCCGTGTGTTTGTGAAGGTGTATAGGAATGTGAGCTTGTGTGTACATGTGTTTTTTGCGCGTCTTTGTGTGTGTATGCGTATATTGTCGTGGTTATTTTTCATTTTCGGCATTTTCTAATTATCTTAAACTCTCTCCCTACAGAGAATTCAGAACTGAACCATTTATTTAATTTACGGAGATAGACTGTTCTTGTTCCACTGGCCATGTCCAGAGATATCTCGTCTAGTTTCTATTCTTAATACCGATCAGTAATTGCTCGCATTTGTTTTCTACTGAGCCCAAGTACACACTACCCGGTCCAAGGTTTGAACTCACAATAATTATGTCAAGAAATTCAAGAACCAACGATTTAATCAACTTGACTACACTGAAATGTATTCCTCGTCAACTCGAGGTAGAGGTTTAAGTTATGAGGCTATTTTGTGAATAGAAGTGAAAGATAAAGGTTAACCCTAGCCTTGAACAAGTCAAGATTGTCGTGATCGGGGAAACATCCTCTTGGGAATCGTTTCCATAGAGCAGTGGTACGCGGAAAGAAGCTATTTGAATGGAACTTACTTCTCATAAATAGAATACGGAGGGCATGTGGGTGATTTGCTACTATGTAAGTATCATAGGGTGTCCTTGACGTGAACATTTGAACTGCTGAGACCAGGGAATATAGTTTGTTCGAGCTTTTTCGTAGGAGTAGTGATATAACAGCGAGAGTCATGTCACATCCCGCTTGTGAGAGAGCGTTTGGAAGGTGGCGAATAATTCTTCACCGACAAGGTCTCGGAGACGCTTGTGAACTCTATCAAGTCTGGAGAATCTAGGCAGCTCCTGTTCAAATAAGACAACAGTACTCCATTTTTGACCTTTTCTGGCTATTTAAAGGTTTGGCTTGGTTTGGTTTGTTTTACAGTATATCAACTCCAATAGACTATTTAACGCCGACAAGATTTTTTATTGCTGGTAATATATTTTATCTATCTATCTATCTATCTATCTCCGTATAAATTGGTTTAGTTTGTTTTGTTTTACGGCATATCAACCTCAATAGATTATTTAACGCCGACAAGATTTTTATTGCTGGTAATATTTTTTTTCTTCAAAAATGTATTGCTGGTAATAATAATTCCTTAAAAATGTATTGCAGGTAGTAAAACTTATTTTTACACTTTCATAGTGTTTTGACCCCAGTTTGGGGTTTAACTATTTGCTCATAGCTGGGACCCTGACAGGTACTAGTATCCCGGATCAGGGTGGACCCGGGAACACCAGCAATTACGAGGTGGTTCTACGCACCTCAAAACCTCCTGATCAGAGGCCTTGCTGTTGGATGCAGTTTATCGTCTTCCTAGGATGCTCTTGTAAAGGTAGAGGATAGCAGGAGATGTCAGGTACTTACTGGAGTGGTACAGGGAGACGAACATTTTACATGCATCCATAGCAGTGGATCATGGGTACGAGGTCAGGTTCGAGTGTGAGGGCCCAATAGTCTTTCGGTGCATTTGAATATTTGTCATATCAATAGCGGTAGGCTACTGAGAGGTTTGCAACTTTTCTTAATACTTTCTGTAACTTCTGGAAGCCATTTTACGTTATATTCTGAAAAAATGCCAAACATTATCTTTTATTGTTCTGCTTAATCTTATAAGAATATACATAATATTTACTTACTTTAGAGTTGAGCAAAACTTAAGCTTAGTTAATAAATGACAAAAAAACATCTAGAAACTTAGACGAAAATAGAATTAGTGAATCAGTCTGATTAATGTAAACTTGTGTTCACTCCAAACTAATACATCTCAAAAAGGCTAATCTGTTTCTTCTACCAGATCAAATCAGCTTTTATTTCCATGCTACTTGTACCGTGTAACCCAACAGTACCAGTCGTATCTTATCTACACAGGATATAATATATATTTGTTTTCATTCGACACTAATGCATTTTCAAAATTGTATGAATCTGTTTCCCTACCAGATCAAGTACCATGTAACCCAAAAGTATCAGTCGTATATTACCTATAGAGGATATGTTATAAATTCGTGTTCACTCGACACTAATTCCTTTCTTCTTACCAGGTCAAGTCAAGTTTTACTTCATGCCACTTGTGTCATATAACATAATACATCAGTCATGCATAGGATATGATGTAAAATTGTGTTCAGTCGATACTTAATCTTCCAAAACGCATGAATCCATCTTTACTTATTATGTCAAGTTCCATAAATTTTACTCTGTGCTTCTGGCACCTTATAATCGACTACAACCAGTCTTCTTTTGCCTATAGAAAATATGGTGTAAATTTGTGTTCAATCGATATTAATATCTTTATACCTTGCTACTGGTAGCACGTGACCCAATATAAACAGTCATATTTTACCTACAATTTAGAGGGGTACTTCGAACTAATTCAATTAATTCAAGATTTATACCTTTAAGTTTCATAAGTTCATATTAATTTAGATTTGAATTGATATGAACAGCTCGTGTAGCGTGGTGGCTAGTATTCTCGTAAGATCATTTACAAATTTTGGAAATTCATCCGCAGCAAGTGCTTTACTGTTCTGTCATTACATCATACTAATGCTTAGTGTAAACCGCCAGTGAAACTCTTGTCGCATTGTGCATTGAAAAATAGTTCTGGAAAGAGCTACGGTCATCTATGTATAGGCAGTTAAGATAAAACTAACACGGAAAGACTAAATTACTAATAACTTTCGTAACAAACAAATCATCC